CACACACACACACACACGCACTCACACACTCAGTCATGGTCAACAGTCTGCCTATTTGTTTGTTTGTCTGTCTGTGTTTATGTCTGCTCATTCATCTGTATTTTCCTGTTCTGGCATGATGATTTCAACTTGAGCATCTCAGTTCTCACTCTGTCCTTTTGTCTAAATCTTCGCTGATAGGAATGTTGGTTGCAGAAATAGCCTGCTCCCTGCCAGTCTGCTAGTTTCACCATTCTTGAAATCCCACAGCTGTGTATTTTCTCTCGCTTGTGGTTACTATCGAGCCTGGATTGTATTCTGAAGACTAATGATCTGTCCTAATCAGCAGTGAAAGCTGTAATGATGTCTGTGTGTTTGCTTCTCTGTGTTATGTTTTTCTGTATAAAATGTGTGTGCGTGTGTTTGTGTGTGCATGCATGTCTGAGTTATGCATCTGATTAGATTACACCAGCAGTTAACTGACAAGATGGAGAACTTGCAGCAACCACCTTCATTTACCTGATACTCATACTATAAATTCACTTTGATTTGTAGGTCTCTTTATGAGCAACATATGTCTTTTGCCAGTTTAGTATTTTTTTATTTTTTTATTTTTATTTTATAATGGAGAGACAACCCAGAATACATATGTACTGATTTTCCGTGAAAATATCAATATGTTGTGTAACAAAAGGCATACATTTCTGCTGGTGATGATCAAGCTGCTTTTACTTACTTGCATCTTTCTTTGCTGTCTTCACAATTCAAATTTCTCTTTTAACTATTGTTGTTCATATTCCTACTAGTTGCATTCCTATGAGCATGTAATTCCCTTTAAAAAAAAAACACTTTCCCCTAATTTTATTATCATGGTTAATTTTGCACCATCAGATTACATTAGTCAGTATCTTGTTCTTCTTTGAAACACATCATCAGCTCAGCAAATATATCACTTGCATGATTAAGTAATTACACACGCTGGTGTGTAATTACATAATCATGCAAGACTCTATTTCCCAATGAATGATTGTTGTATTGCAGTAGGCTCCCATCCATCATTTATATAAACATCTGCATGTGAACATATCTCTTTATTTCTCTGTATCCTCCGCCTGAGGTTCAATTTGTGGAAGAGGAGTGGGTTGGGGCGGATGTAGGGGGGGGACTTGTCATCACTCCCTGGCTGTGCTACAGTGTGGAGCCGTGCAGAACTGCCACTCTGAGCCAAAAATACATCTGGCAAGAGAGGACAAGGGAGGGAGAAGGAAAGATGGAGACATGAGGAAGGGAAAGAGAGAACGAATGAGATAGGGGACTGTGGAGGGATGCAGAGATGGAGTGGAGAGTGTAGTGTTGCGTAGTGTACTGTACTGTGCTCTCCTTTCCCCTCTTCTCGGCATCATCCGGAGCATGAACATTTCTTTAATCACAGCAGAGAAAGCAGAGCGGAGCCGAGTGGTGTCACACTGCTCCGTCTGCTCGCATCACCACCCCCCCCTTCCTCAACATTGCCACGCCACACAGCTCCATGTCTCCAGCTCTCCACATATCACCATCTCTCCCTTTTCCCTCCACCTTTCTCTAACACTGCTCACCTTATCCCTCTCCAGTTCTTTTTTTTTTCTTCCTTACCTTTGTTCTCTTTCCCCACCTCTTCACCCCGCCCTGTCTCCATCATTTCTTTTGCTTGTCTGTGTCACTGTGTCATTTGTTTCTTTCCTTTCATTGCACCTCCCTGTCTCCCTCCCTCTTTTCACTTCTTGCTTTGGATGGATAGAGACTTTTTGTTTACTACAGGGAATGCTGCTCGTGCCTTATTGACCAACCAACAGGAAGGAATCTCAGCCAGAGATGAGCCTGGGATGCTTGTTTTTCTTACTGCCAGCCATGTCAGCCTGTCAGGCGTGTGTGTGTGTGTGT